CATCCAGTGGTCGTACCAATCCTAACACAAGGGGTCCGAAAATTCCCCTATCTCTCTCAAAGGGATGATAAGAAGATAAGGACCAATCAACCTGGTGAATTTATCTCTGGATCGCTGCCAATCGTCGCTAGGTAATTGGATATAGGATCGCATGGATCGTATAATCGGTTTCTCAGGGAGGGAGTGGACGCATCAACCCCCTTCGAAGCCAGTCTTCGGAATGTAATTAGTCAAGGGAGCTGGCTGGGCGCAATCTTGGCCAACGATCTTCCACAGCTAACGTCAGGGTTCTGCGATTTCTCCAGATCCCATGGAGTTACAAGTGGTCGGGGAATAATTAAAATTGGTCGACCGGGCAGGTGTTGTCCCTCGATACTTTTTTTTAATAAATATTTTTTTTCTTCCTTTCTTTTTTTTTTGTGAAGATGGTTTTATGATTTTGAGGTTATTTAACCCTTTCGAGATGAATTTTTTTGGAAATAAATACGATATTATGATAAAACAAAATATAATTAATTAAAAATTAATTTTCTAAATGAGATTATTGATTAATTGAAATTCTAATATTGTGTTTCGATATTTTTTTCATTAATATTTGAAACTAATGTAAAAATTATTTTTAGAATGTAAATTTTTATTAATTTTTAAATAATTAAATATAAAAAGAGTTGAAATCTTATTATGAAATCTTTTTTTTTTTTAAATTAAATATTAAGTTCGAGAAATTTTTTCGATTTAAAATTGTCGTTTATTAATCACTTCATTAAAAAATATTTCGCATTACATTATAAGCGAAATATTCGAACATAATATTTATATAATTCGTACGACACTACGAACGAATTCGAAGTATTTCTCGAGTTTGTTTATTAGGACGAGATTTCAATGTTAGTTTTATCGATAGTTCAATTCGAACAACATTCAGTCTCGTGTTATTCATGGCGTCGTGCGAACGATATAGCGTCGCGGAATATTTCGTTTATGGTGTATAAATTATACTGTATTCCGGAATATTTCGTCCATAATATTATATAAATTATATTGTGTCGCGAAATATCTCGTCCATAGTATCGTATAAATTATATTGTGTCGCGAATTGTTATTTTATATTGTGAAGTATTTCGTCAGTGGTATCATATGAATTATATTCCAAAATATTTCGTCAGTGACATCGTATGAGTTATATTATGTGGAATATATCGTAAGTGATCGCAAATTATACGAACAATATTGTATTGCGAATATTTCGCCCATAGTGTCATATAACCTATATTGTGTCCATGATAGAAAATCCTGAAATTTCTTGCATCTCTAACAATCGTCTGTTTTGTAATAAATTTTTTTATTTTCAAAATTTGTATTAATTTGACAACCTTATTCTCAAAATCCTTTAGGATTTTTTTTCGAATATTTCATCATCAATGAATATTAGCGCAAAAAATATATATATCGATTGCGAAATGGAATTAACTATATATTAATATCCGGAGTGATTTGTTATTTGATTTTCATTATCTTGTTCGAGGTTAATTACTGACCGCATTCACTGTCATCCAGACAAGTTTTTGCTCGCGAATTAATCGAACGATGCAAGGAGAAAAATTGCAAGTTGACTAATTAAAATCAACTTTTACTTCGATCGCGTATAAACTGTTATATGTACTTCAAAGATAAATGATATTATTAGCATACAGGATGGAGCTATCGCCTCGATAGTTCTAGTAATGGTTTTCTTTCTACGTGTCGTGTATCAATACTCGTATAAATTTCAAGATGCATCGAGTAATGGAATTTTATATCAGTTAATGAAGGAAATAATCACGAATCTCGATAATTCGTCGATAATTCTGTTACTACGCGTGTGGAAATTTTACATACATACTTGTATTAATTTCATATAAAAGTTTTTTTTTTCATTTCTTCATGCGATTTCAAAAACAAATCAATAACAAATTAATAAAATTTCAAATTTCTAAAAGAATATCGATTCAATTTCGATTCAAATATTTGTAAAACTTTAAATACTTTTAAAATTTCATTCTCTCTCAATTTTGTATTACATTATTTCTATATTAAATAGTTAAAGTAGATTGCTTCTGAAAAATAAATACAATAATACGACAAAGGCATAGAGGAAAATTTATAAAATATTGTAATTCTCTACGTAACCTCAAATCATGGAGAGATTACAAAGAATTAAACATAAGAAAAGTGTTATTCAAAGTGGTGAATAGACTTCGGGATTCCACGGATTCCTCGTGACTCCTTTATCCTCATGTTATTTAAATAAAAATCCTAAAAAGAAAAAAGAAAAGAGATCGTAGAGATCGATTGCCAGTGTATATCTAATGCATTCGTGAGATCCTGTCACAGTTCTAACTTTCATTCAAATAATGTAGATTTAATCTGTTACAATATCGACAATAATTTTTAGGTTATTTTTATACATGTAATTTTATAAATAATAGTTTTGACGATTATTTGAAATTGGTGAATTTTATATAGAATAGATAAAAAATTAATTTGTTAAATATTAGATAGATTATATTTATAAATTAAATATAGATAGATTATATTTACAAAATTTTCTAAATTTATAATATTTGATACATTATTATATTTTCGCAAAAATATTAAACAAAATTTCTATTAGACCATAGGAATACTTTTACAATGAAATTATTTAAAATGAAAAGTGAAGCTTAACAAACAAGAATCAAGAAAAATACAATTTTTCTTCTATTTCTTAAAAAAGATAATATATGATAATATACTTAGCAGATATCTGTAGACAGATTTCTTTCGAAATTATTCGAAATAAAGTGAAACGAAACGAAAAGTGAAACTAAATAATCGAGAAAAATGGATAAAATTTTTTTTTCCACTTCTCGTAAGAGATTTATTCGCGAGAAATCAGGAGGAAATCGAGCGTGTCGAGCCTCGATCTCCTCGTGGCTTGGGGCTATTAGAGGCAACCTCTTAGTGCTGGACTATATCCATGGCAGCGATACTATCTCGCCGCCGGTCTAGAACTCGTGCTCCTTTCCTCATAGGCTAGGCGTGGTACATGACGAACAACCGTGAACTGAGGCATGCTGCACGTGCGTATCTAACCAATGAAACCGGTCTCCTTCAAAAAACCCGACAATACTCCCGTGCACCGTTTCGTACGCGCGCTTCTACCGAGACTATGAATATTCGAAACATTTGAACGAGTGATAGTTTATTAACGAGAAATTGGATCGGTTTGAAAATATTTTTAAAATTCAAAATTTTTTAAAAAATTTTATATCATGGATAGAATGTATATTTTGTTATATGACGAAAACGTTCGTATAAATAGAGTGCTCTACTTATGGTGGTTTATTATTCCGCTTATTATCAATTAGATATTATCGATAAAAAATGGAACTATGCTATTATTTCGCGTTATTTTAAATTACTACTAGTTAAATTATCTCAACATATTATAAATTAAAACGAATATTTCAATATTGAAATGGAAGAATATAAAAATATATAATAAAAATTATTTTTTTCTTAAATATTAATTTCTAAATATGAATTTCTCAAAGTAATGACCATATTATTTATGTCACTATGATTCTCAATGCCTTATATAAAATTTCATCGATATAAATGATCATTTTCGAAGAATCTACTTGTAATCATACGTTTCATGAGTAGATGGTTTTCTCGTATCGAATTTCCAGGTCGTTGGGAAGATCGGAAACACCTTTCTCCTTTTTCCTTTTTGCCTTTTCATTCAAGTATTCAGTATTCTTGAACAGGATCCTCGTTTTCTTCATTCCATCCGGAGTGAAAGATTGACTTTTTCGATTATGAGATAGACGATACACAATATAATATTTGATATCAGAAAAAAGTCATTTACAATTTTTCTATTGTATAATTTTTAAATAGAAACATTCTCTTCAATTTCATAATTATGATATATTCCATAAAAAAAAAAATGTTATCATAATCAAATATCTGGATCATCGACGACTCTTCGAAACTTGATTAATAATAATTCCTCTTAATTTTATAATTCACTGGTATATTTGATAACAAAAAATATTCCCATGAAATATCTCGAATACGATCATCAACGATTCTCTAAAACTTAAGAAAGTTTTTAAATTTATTGATATATATATAAATATTATTTCCAATCAAATACCTCGATTGATGTATATCTGTCACTTGGCTTAATCTCTCCTCATCCATCGACAGAAAAAGAATGAAATAAAATTTATTCACTGATGCAATGCCAATCAATTTCAATCAAAGATCGAATATTCTAACCGTTACTGTACAGCTCGATCGTAATTTGTCCCAAAGAAGGTAGAAGCGTATTATCGATTACCGATGCGTCAAGATGTAATCGATCGTGGCCCCAATCCGGAAAGTCATGGACGATGATCGGTGTACGTGACGGGGATCGATTGACCGTCTCGTGAACAATCGATCACGATCCTGAATATTTGAAGATTAGAAATTTTTTTTGCTATCGAATAACCAGATTGGTTTTTCTGTTGCAGCAAAAGGTGAAATTCTGGTTTGCGACAGGTGGCGCCGGATTTTGCATTAGCAGGGCGCTTGCGATGAAAATGACACCGGTTGCTGGGTAAATATTAACTTTCTCTCCAGATTCTTAGATTATTTTCGATAGTTTTTATATAGTAGTTTAATCATCAATGTTTAATCATTTGCAATTGTTCGATAAATTTTACGTTAAGTCACTGAAAAGAAGAAAAAAAGTTCAGAAATATATTTGATTTTTGCAAAGAATTGATAGAATAATATATATATATTATTTTTTATATAATGATTGATCTTTTATATATAAAAATATTTTATAATAGTTTTTTTACATTAATAAAATATAATCACATTCGGAATAAAAATTTGAGTCAATGAAATATACATAAATTTATATATATATAATATATATATAAATTTTATTATATAAGTATATAAAGTATTAAATATATTTTATCTATTTTTTTTTTTTTTTTTTTTACGTAAAAGATCAATTATTATATAGTATAGTTAATATCAGTAGGGGTTATTCTATGTAGAAGATAATAGATTATTGTTTTAAAATAAAACGATTGCTCGATAAGGCGCAGAGGAATCGAAGACAACCAAGCGACCACTGTGTCCCGTCGGTAAATAATGATTGACGAGGGTCCACGACATAAACGTCGGCGTAGCTTCATTCGAATTGCTTCTCGAGACGAACTTATTGATAATAATGCGGATAGCGACGTCGCGATCAACCATTTTGATCGCTTTAAGTGGAGTGACTCGTAGCGATTTCGAATCTTCTTGATCCGCTCGATCGAATCGCTTTATAATCGCTGGTAATCATCTAATCGACATGCTTTTTCCTCTTCACGAGGCTTTTTTATCTTTATTTTGCATAACTGGAAAAAAATTCTTCGAATTTCAATTTCCTTTTATATAATAATATTCAAGGCTTTCCATACGAGGTAAAGAAAATTCTGAAAATTGAGGTTAGGATTAAAGAATTTTGTTGATTAAAATTAATCCTAGATAATTAATCTGATGATTTGAATAACGTGATTACTAACCTTTTTAACGTGATGAAAATTTTATTTATGCATAGAATTCTTGAACATTGTCATTTACGATATCAGTCTAATCAATTACAGTTAATAGAATAATTATAAAAAACCTGTAAATTAAAATGGAAGATGAGTTATATCTATATAGATCGACAAATCTAAGATTTTTTCCAATTTATTTCAACGATATTTTTTTATTTTAATATCGTGTGAGAAAGAAAAAAAATAAGGAAAAAAATATAGAAAATAGGCAGAAAGAAACAGAGCAACGAAGAAGCTTGGCACCTAGGAGGGCTTTCCAATCGGTTCAATCTTCCGTTTCTTCTCCACCTAGTGTACATCGTCCTAGCATTATCTTGTACAGTGGTTTCCCTCGTGTTGCAACACGTCTATACGGAAGGCGGAGTAGAGATGCAAAGGAAAGAATCGTGCAAGTGCATCGAACCGCTTTCTCATTCAGGGACGTTGCCATTATTCCTTCTCTCTTTCTTTCTTCATCCCTTATTTCATTTTTTCCTTTCTTTCTTATTTATCCACCAATTGAACAACTTTTGATTTTCTGTTTTTTCTTTTCTATCCTTTATTTTCGGGAAAAGATGGAACTTGTCACTCCTTACGTTTTTTTAACTAACTCGTAATTTTTGATATTTCCATTTTTTTTTTGATTTTTTTTTTATAGAAAAAAGACTCGATAATATTTTTCTTTTTCTTCGAAAATGGCATATCTTATTCTTCGAGTTTGACGTTAAAACATTTGAGGTTAGAACGTTTCTAATCCCCTTGTCTTCCTTTCGAAAATATGAAATATTTCTTCAAGTAGAATAAAGTTTACGATTTTTCGTGATACTTACTTTTCTTTTCTATCAAAAAGATGCGAAATATTTTCGAAGTTTCTTCTATTTATGTTTGAAAAATTTGCGTTTTAAAGATGTTTCGAGTTCAAAATCGCTCGACACATTCCGGTTATAGGTTAACTCGCTACGTTGCAAGAAACTAGCACGCCTTTAAGGTATTTTCAAACATATAACCGACTGTTATTTACGACGTTCACCAGTCGTAACGGTGTATCGAGTCTCGTAACTGTCGATAATTTTCCATTAACGTTCCTGCTATCCGCGTCTCGTTAATAGCAGAACAAATCACTTTTACGGGTTCTGTGAAGCACCACCATTGCTGCTACTTTCCTTACCTAGTATTTTTCTTCTTCGAACAATGTCACTACAAATTGTTTTCTTCTTTCTATTTATTCTTAATGATATGACTATCGATACAAGTTTGCGAATCTTGATCTGATATTGAAATGTATCAAAGATAAAAATATGAAAAGGAATCGATTCTATCGATACTAATTTGTAAATTTCGATCCGATATCGATATATATCAAAAGCCAAAATATCAAAAAGAATCAATGTTTCTGTTACTCGAACATATCGATATCTATTTACTATTAGGCTAAGTTAGGTTAAGTTAGGATAGTTGATTCTGATTTTCTATGGAAGATGAATTGATCGATCGATCGATCGATCGAGTGAAGATTTCGCGATAAGCAGGGAATCTCGTTGACTTTTCCATCTTATTGGCCGACGAGGACTGGTTTCGCCAGACCTTGCGGAGATGGATCTTAATTAACGACGAACGCGACGAGTGCATTTACAATGGGTCTGCACAGATCGCCACCCACGTTTACGCATGCACTCGTTCCAACTCGATTCTGCATGTATACTCGCGAATTTAATTTTAAATGAAACACGTTTTTTCTTTTGTATCTCGATAAAATGAGTTCATTTATCTAAAGGCGATCAATTATATATCAAAGTAATCTCTTTGAAAGAAAGTGAATAAATATAAATAAATACGAGATATATTTTCAAAATTACTGCCAATAAAGATAAAAAAACGAGATTATAATTATATAATATTTTCTCATTTGTGAACTAAACTCATTTTAAAAAAAATATACACATTTATTTTCTAACTAACCTTACTTTGAAAACGTAACATTCATTCATTTGCAAAATAATTTCATTTTAAAGACATATATATTTATTTACGAATTAACCTCACTTCAAAAATGTACATAAAATACAAGAAGATATTTCAGTTAAGAACGAATCGCCAAATCATAACTTTTGATTTCGTCAATCTATCGAAAAAAAGTCGTCAAAAAAATCTGAACAATCTGAAAAAACCGAATGGTATTTCACGCGTGAGATAGAATCGATCAAATCTCATCACGTTCGATCGAAACTAAATTTCTCCTCACCTGTATATCATCCCACGAAAATTGAGTTTCCCCCGAAGCCGCGGTCGTATCTCGAATACCGAAGGCGGCTTTTGCACGATCGGGGATCGCATGGTCGAAAATTTGGGCAAGCCATCACTGGCACAGGTAGCGGCGAGTGATCTATAGATCGACGACGGATCCCGGCTACGTATCCGTAGGAATGCCCAAATTGGTTTCGTCGGCCGCGGGTTTATAGACGTTGCAGCCCGCGATCGCGCGGTGGAATCCAATTAGGTCGAGCAATAATGGAATCAAAGAGATCGACTCTGCTTCCTCGTCCTTCTCCTTTGTTCGATTCTCGTCATTGATGCGTGAGATTTCGTTTTTTATTTATCTTTCCATTGAAGTCTTCATGGTAAGAATGCAATTACAAGTTAAGTCGCGAAACGAGAAGCGTATAGAGAGGAGACTTGTGAAGTTAGCATTTTCAACTTGCATTTTTATAGTCAAGTGGAGACCTCTATGTTCAAGTGTTTTAATCAAATATTGTCGTGCTTACAAATCAACCGTTCTCAACTATTTTTTACCAGTAAAACCGAATATTTTTGTTTTCAGTGACGTTGCTATTATACTGCCTTACTTGTAATGTTGTTGTTTCACTATAAACACTTTGCATATTGAATAATATTGATTTGAATCTAGTATTGCATTTGTAAGTATGCTGCTTTCCTTGTTTTTACTACCTAATCTTAGGTTAAGAAGATATGAAACAAATGGGCGATTAAAATGGTCGATGACATTAACTGTCCCGACAAGGAAATGTTGACGATAGGGATTTTTTTTACTTGAGACGATAAATCTCAACAGCTGTTTTATGGAGGAATCTCGGTTTTGGAATAATTATATCTCGTTTGAAAGGTACCAGGATAGTTTAGCTTGATTTTCTAATTTCACGGTTTGTTAGTCTTATGGTGTTTTGATTCTCTGAGATGAGAAAAGGGGATAGTGTGGAAATCGATCGTGTAGCTTGACTCTTGCTTAGCGATGGTGAAGACAGCTCGCGTTTTTGCCGCGGTATTTTTTTACTTTTACGTTTATCGTCGCGATGAGAAAGATATATAACAGGGGAGCGTCGATGAGAATTTTCTTGGGTGAAAGGGTTCATGGGAATGTTTCGAAAGAGATATTCGATGACTTTGGAATTTGGATTAAAGATATTCGTCTATTTTAAGAATTTTTCAGAAAAATAGAACTTGTGAAATTATAAAATTGTAAAAATTCTTTATATTATTGATTGTATGTGAATTCTAAAAATTTATTATATATATTTAAAATTTTGACTAATAATCATCATGGATAATCATTAATGAATTTATATAAAAAAAAAAATAAATTATAATAAAATCAATTTATCTTATTTTTATTAAACTAAATACTTGTTTTTGTTATTAATTTTGTTTTTATTCATGGAATAAAATATTTATCCTAAAATATTTATTTTTTAAAAATTCTTGTTTTATGTTATGGAAATATTTCTATTACATCACAATTATTTAAAATTATATGTAGATACAAAACTAAAGAATACATATCCAACTCTTAATTAAATTAATCAGGAATGGCATTAATTTATTGATAAAATAAAATAAAATAAAAAACATTTCTAATTTCAATTAAAACCGATATCTAAATATACAGTGGAATATATGTCTCAATCCAATCGATTGTGATCGCTGTTGGCACGTTCGCATTGATAAAGATCCATCGCGTCTGTTGAGGATCGACTCGGCCATTTGTTCCATCTCCAATTGGAAACGAATGAAGTGGCAGTACGTGCGCAAAGCGGTCGATAGTTTCGATCGCGGGATCGATAATCGATCTCGAGTCAAGTCTTCTTCTCGTTCTTCCTTTCGAAGCTTCCATGCCATTTCCTTTCGTATCTTTGATGGATTTGTTTGCTAAAGGTCGTTATGCAAGAATTTTTAACGAATAGTTAATAAATGACATTTGTTTAGTGATGTTAGTGAAATTTATCGTGAATTTTTTTCTTTCATTAATTTTTATTTTCTTCTATTCGATGTGTCACTAGATTATATTATTTGCCAATTTGTTAATTTTACAGAAAAAAAATAAATCTTAATATATTTCATACTTATATCATTTAAATACAAGTATCGAAAGAAGAAGAGAAATTTTTTAACAATACTTTTAACAATTTTTGTGTTAATTTATCAATAATATCTAATTTGCAATATTTAAATATATCAATATTTAGATAAATCAAAATAACGGAGAATATATCAAAATATTCAAAATTTCTTAAAAAATTTAGAAACGTTTTATTATGGATGGAATTAAGTATAATTTATATTTAAAAATCGGAATCAATAATCAAATTTTATAATTAGCAGTTTTTTTTATAGATTATTGTCTTTATTTATATTTCTTTCGAAAATAACGAAAAATTACTTTATTATTTAAAAGAGATCTCTGTTAGATTCCAATATACAGAATTCAAACTTCTATTCTATATTATCCTATTTCTACATTCCATTTCATCATCTATTTCGTTCTATTCTATTTCGTTCAACTCTAAAACTACCTAATTTAAATTCAAATCTATTTATACACCATAATTCGTTCCATCTCTACTCATCCCAGTCCCAGAAGATCGCGCGGAATGCTTGTAAAACAGAACAGCGCGAAAAACAGGTGGAGAGATAAAGCGGAAACCGTGGAGAAAAAGATCGAAATGAACCGCGTCGGTATCAGCGGGATCTGTCCTTGGTTATTTAGCACCGAACAGAGGAAGACGGAAGACTTCGATTCCCTCTCTCTCTCCCTCCTGTTCCCTTCCCTTTCGTGTAACCTCGAAATTTCGATTTCGTCGCGGTCCTCCAGGTATTTTAACGAGGACGATATTCCGTGTCGGCGGTGCAGAAAGGACACTGGTCCGCCTTATGTCCACCAGAGGCCGCGCGTGCAACAAGCGAGTGAAGGATGGAACGATAGACCCTGCATCGAGGGAACAAAGATAGAGGCGACGGCCGGTGGAGGGGATAGGGTCGTGGAAAGGGTATACGCGATTTCGGGACTAATCTGGCCAATTAAAAAGAGCCAAGAGACGCGCGCGCAGGTACGGTGAATTCTCGAATCCGTCGATGGTATTCGCTAATGAGCGTTCCTCTTCGTCTCTCCTCCACGCTCCTTTTTCCTTGGAACTCCTTTCCTTCGTTTCGTAGAGCTTGCCTGGTTTAGGAACTTTCTTTCGACGAGAACGATCGACTCTTGGAAAACGTTAATTAGACGAGAAATAAACGACGAATATTTTGGTCTATAGGAGTCGCCGTTAATTGGACTGTGAACGTAGCGAAAATTTTCGGGTATTGAGAAGCTTGGAGGGAGAAGCTTGCGTGAGAGGGGGAAGCGTGAGAAATTTGTCGGCATGGGACGTGGGATAGGGAAAGAAATTGTTTATTCGATTTTTCGGTGTTGGAGGCGGTTAGAGCATGGAGGGGAATAATAAGGGGAACGATAACAAACGGGGAAGATTGTGAATCGATTTTTGACTCGATTTTTTTTCACACCAGAAAATTTTTTTAATAATTGAAGTTAAGGTTAGTTCGATAAATTTAATAATTTATTAAAATTATTCAAAGCATCAAATAACGAAAGTTAAATTTCAAATGAGTAGTAATTTTATTAAGATTTTATTTTAACTAGTTATTTTTTCAGCATTCAAGGAGAGATTCTTATTAGAATCTTACTATAATTTCTCACAAATTGTATCAACGTCTACTTTTAATTATCGATCATTCTCAGTAAACAATCGAATTTAATCACGATCTGGAATGCTACTAATCGATTCCATTCGACAAATTTTTACTTCAATTAATCCATTGTGAATAGTATGAAAGATTTTTTCGATTATTAATTCATTGGAAAATTCAATTTTTGTATTTTTATTATTTTTATTATATCGTTTTATTTTTCATCGAATATTCACTTATTTTCGTCAAAACAAACGACATCAACGCCTCCATTTATACGATTCATAAAATTGTCTATAAATTTCGTCAATAATATTATATTTTTGTTAAGAAATAACACGATCGACGAGATTATTTATTGCACCGCTCATAACTAAATTATCGACATACGGTAACAAAACGCGAATCCGACTACGATTAAACGATCGACAAGTTAGTTAAAAAATTCTATTTATATTGGCGGCAATTTTGAAATATTTTTAAAAAATACTTCCAAAGAATCACGTAATTGATTAATTTGAAATTAAACGAAATAAGGAAATCGATCGAAAGACGAATACGGTGCAAAGGAAGGCTCGTTAGGTTAGGTCGCGGATAATCCTTATTTGCAATGCAACGAGGGTTGGCAACGAAGAAACGCAGGAAGAACGCACAGGTGCGCTCGAATAATGATGAAACAACCGAGTTCCCCTTTTCAAGATCTCTTCGATTATTCCTTCCTTCTTTCTCGTGTTCCTGTCCTCATCCCTTTCTCCCCGGACTCGCCACGAAAAGATTCCTTATTGTTAAACCACTATGGAAAAACAACATAAATATCTTTTCAACTTCAAAAAAAAAAAAAAAAAGTATGCACGTATATAAGAAAAATTGGTGATCGTGAAAAGTGAGCGAGCCCCTTCTCCTCGGCTCTCCGAGTCGGGAGGATCCGCCCCTTATCTCGGGCCGTCGATTTATCCTCGGCTCCCTTGAGCCGGCCGGACAAATGTACGATAGGCGGTCCGCGTAGGGAGGCGGCGGCGAGCCTTTGAGACATTTGTCCTTTGGTGTTCTCTCACGTGCAGCCCCCAGGAGAAGAGGAGGTGCCGCGCGATATACAAGCGGGGACCCGCGGGCCCCCGCGACTACCGGTCGCCGCTCTAATTGGCACGATTTATGTCCGCCGCGGGTCAACCGTCTTCTCGCCCCGGCTGCTCGATCAACGTCCACTGGAATTTTCGTCCTTTCGTTTTGCGCGTTTGACGATCGAAATCCCCTCCTACCTGAAGGGAAGAAGGAGATCGTGGGAGAGGTTGGAGATGGTTTTTCGATCGATCGTTCCGAGAGTTGAATTTAACGATTCGTTTCGGGAGAAGTGGAGGGGGGTGGTATTGGAAGTTTAAAAAAATTCGATTCAAAACGCTTCTGGAATGTTTAAAAATCGTGGAGAAATTTTTCGTTTCTTCCTCTTCGAAATCGGCATAAAAGAATGGCGATTGCAATGTAAGAACATTATTCCATACGAAAGTTGCTATACGCTAGTTCTAGTGACGATAAATTTGAACATGAAAGGTGAAAAATTCAAACGATCCAATCTCCATTAATTACCATAATCTCCATTAAAAAAAATCGACAA